AATAAGCACGTATAAGGGACCATCATCATTTTTCGAAAGGGACTCGATTCGTAAAGGCAACCATAAGGGACTTTGATGATTTTTCTATTTGAGGGACTTGCTTTATACACCCCACTTAACCATTATTCGTAGGCAACTTGAGGGATATCCTTAGGAAGTGAGACGGCGATTAAAATCGACTTACGTGTGTGACGTGTTTATTTTAATTATCTTTATTTAAAAGTGATCTAAATGTATTTTAATATTACATACATGTTGTTACACTCCCTAATTACTAACCATAATAATAATTAAATAATTAAACAACTTTACATCCAAGAAACAATTACAAAATAATAAGCACAATAATTAAATAGCAAAGATAAATAAAATATAAATAAGCAATAATAAATAATAAAGGGGGTTAGTAAGCAATATTTAACAAAATAATAAGCATGATTAGAATATAAATGGGTTAGTAAATAAGAATAAACAAAATTAATCCAAATATTATAATAATAAGAAATTAATTAACTAGAAAAAAAATTAATTCAAAGGATAAATATCTTATTTTAATAAAATGAGTTGATTAAGGTTAAATTAAATAAAAGAGGCTACTAATCATTGTAAAAACTGAATAGAAAATATTGTTTTCAATTTAAGTATTTAAATAGGTGGTTAAACAATTAAATTAAAAACGATTATGGCTTAAATAGGTTGATTAAAAGAAAAAAGGAAAAGTGTTAATGGGAATTAAGGGTGATTAAACGGAGTTAGTGTGGTGTGTGAGTGATAATGGTGATAATTACACAATTACAAGGAAAAAAACAGAATCCACGGAGGAGTAGGGGAACCCTAGTTCCCAAATCGAAACTGCCTCGCTCTCGATCGCTCCCTCTTTCTCCTTCCGTCTGTCGCGATCGATTCCTCTTCCTTCATCGAGTTTCGAATCTACAAACACACAACAAGAGCATCAATAATTTAAAATACGGAAGAGAAAAGGAGCGTTACCGGCGGTTCGCGGATGAGTTGCTGAGGAACGATCCACGGTGAATGTTGACGGCGGAAGTTCGAGTTTGCGTTGGATTCACGATGAAGGGCGAGAGTGGCGATGTACTCTGAGGATAAGATAAGTTTTCTTCTCCTTTAGGTCTAGGGTTTCCAATTGTGAATTGTGGTTTTTTCTTTTTTCGATAGCTTTCTGTTCCTCTTTATATAGGCTCTAATTTTGATTCCTTGATTGATTTTGGTTAATCACAAGTGAATGCTGATTGATTGTTTCCAATTTGGTTATGATTTGATTTGAAAACATTTCCTTTTAGGCGAGATTGTGTTAATATCTGTTAATGGAGAACCGAATCTTTGATATTGTGTCAATTGGTTTAATAACGTCTAGGTTCAATGTTCAACGATTTGGATTAGATACTCTCTTTTGATCGGTATATTCCTCAATGTTTTTACTAATCTTGAATTTGGCGGTTTGGCAGGTGTAGTTGGCAACTGTTTGGGCCAAATGACGAATCAGGAGCCCAGAGTACGTTCTTGCTTGATGCGCGTGGGAATCTTATGAAGAGCGAAGTTGGTGGTGAAGGATAGCAACCGCAAGCCTTCTCAGAGTACTTCAAAATCGACCTTTGTCCTTCCTGTCTGGTTATCCTTCTGGTGCGCATGGTTTTCTAGTCATGGTTTTGCAATGAAAGTGGGGAGCTCTGCATTGTTTTATTCGTCTGTACCAAACTTGACTTCTTATTCTCAACAGGGCTATTTTCAGCAACGAGTTCACTTTCTACTAGCTCCAGCAGCGTTAGGTGAGTTTGTGTAATACTTGGCTACCATTGCTATTCTTGATAAAGGTTCATTGTATTTAGTATGACAATTGATAAACCTTGCGCTTTCTTGACTAGAGCAATTGAACGACTGTTGTGAAAGAAACTTTACACCGTCATGTGCTTTTACAGGTGGTTCAACAGTTGAGGTGGTCGGTGACAGTTGACTACTTCAAAGTCGGTGATATTGTTCAGGATTATCTGGAAAGCTTGCAAGGTCTGTCTCAAGTTGAGGAAGATACACTAGTAACCGGTTTGTCATGTCTTGCAGCAACTTATCATGAGGATCCCGTTCACGAGATAGAGTGTGGTAGCCTTTTGGGGGGATTCTAGGGACATGGTTTTGCCCTTGAATTGAAGAGGCTTCAGGCGAGGCTCTTACTCCTTCACTCATGTGCTTCAATTCAGACGATACAAGTTTCTATGGATCCCGTTCACTGCCTGCAGCCTTTGCTTGTGATTCGCGGCTCGAAGAAACCTCATGTAATGTAGGCGGTACACAGCGAACTCTTAAGGCATCTGAGTTCCCACTTGAGAGACAATATGGTAGGTACAGAGACCTCTTTGTAACCTATTCTTTCATTATGTGTGAGCTCACTAAGTTTTCATTTATTCTGGCAGGAGAGGTAGGGTGTCCTGACAGAGACATGGGCATATTTCCAGGCGGATACAAAGGCGTGCAACCGATATCCATGACACTCTCAACTCGAAGTTTATGCTAGTCAAACTGAACTCGGTATTTACAATAGTCATCAGTCAGTAAACTGCCCTAAAAAATCCAGTTCATCAGGAGTTCATCGTTTTCTCAGCAAGCTCACACAGGGGATCAGTGCGTGTTGCTGCTGTTCCGAAGCATGAAGCTCCTAATTTTTTCAAGTGGACAGAATAAAGTGTTGCGAGAGAAAACCAAAGCCTAAAATGGTGGCCTTGTACAGGAAGTTTCTTTTGTTGGCGAGATGAACGGATGAACGGGATCCTTGTGTTGTTTCCTTTTTTAAAACTTGTGTATTAGCTTGGTAGCCAAAACTTGATTCCCAAATATGTAATTCAACTTTGTATTGTAATAACAATCTGAACTTGTACATTGAGTTGGATTATAATGAAATTTGAAAATCTCAAGGAGACTTGCGTTTTGTATATTAAAAGAATTGACTTCTTATGCTGGGAGGAAGGAATGCTAAATGTTGTGTTGTGATGTGTGTACTTAGGCGCTTGCATGGTTGAGAGCAAAGTCTGAAGGTGGTGTATGCCCTTTTGGCTCGAATCCTTAAAACGTAGCATGAACCTTCCATATAATTAAGACCTCTCTTGAATTTAGCAGCATATCAGATGCGTCTTTAACTCGTACTCCACTCGAAGATCATAAGGATTAATTATGAACACAAGGGTGCTCATATAAACCTCTTATTGTTAATTCTCCATAATTTATTCTTATCAACACTTCTTTAATGGCTTATGGTCAATCTTAGAATCTCTTAACTTTCGATATTTCACAAGTGATGAACCAATTTGAACCTTTTGAGATGCACCAAAAGAATTTCCCGCCATAAACCAAATAACATCATTTGATCATTGCAAATGTTGGATTGAAAGCACATATGAGCGATCCTTAATTCTCGGGTCCACGCCATCTTGCCCTAGAAAGCTGCGCACACTCGTTAGTCCTGATAAACACGTATACTAGAGCATAATGAAAACCTGTAAGAAAAGATGCACACGGAGGTGGAGTCTTCAGGTCAAAAATTAGGGGTGCAATATATGTGAACCTTGTGAATCTTCTTAGAACACAAAGTCTTGTATTGTGAGGGCAAATTTTGGGGTGCAACAGCTGCCCCTGTTCAATTTTCTGAAACCTGAGGGGTTAGATTGGTATATTTGCCAGTCGTAACCTGGAAGGTTGAAGGGGATTGAACACAAAAGCCCAAAAATTTGCACTCACTAGTGCATGGAGTGATATTGATGGTTGGTTGAACATGATTGAGTGGGCTTAAAGATGCCACTAGGGGAAAGTTCTTCAGTAGTATAATGAGAACTATCAGGAGTCTGGAGTAATACAGCATGTCTTCATGAGGATAGAGCAATCAATAATGATAACCCTAAAGCAGTCTTGAAGTGATAAATCTGACCTCAGGAGGATAGAGCAATCAATAGCTCTAAAGCAGTCTTGAAGTAATAATGGCTTCAGGAGGATAGAGCAATCAATAGCTCTAAAGCAGTCTTGAAGTAATAGAATGGCTTCAGGAGGATAGAGCAATCAACAGCTCTAAAGCAGTCTTGAAATAATAATGTGATATGTCTTCAGGAGGATAGAGCAATCAATAGCTCTAAAGCAGTCTTGAAGTAATGATTTCAGGAGGATAGAGCAATGGATAGCTCTAAAGCAGTCTTGAAATAATAATGTAATTTCAGGAGGATAGAGCAATGGATAACTCTAAAGCAGTCTTGAAATAATTAGATGGCTTCAGGAGGATAGAGCAATGAATAGCTCTAAAGCAGTCTTGAAGTAGTAATATGACCTCATGAGGATAGAGCAATGAATAGCTCTAAAGCAGTCTTGAAGTAATAGGATGATTTCAGGAGGATAGAGCAATCAGTAGCTCTAAAGCAAGTCAAAACTAAAATCTACCAATAAAAAACTAAAACAAAATATTTGAAATCTGCAAATAAGACTAACACTTATTTATCAATTTTGCGTGTAAACATTTATGCTAATGAATCGTGGACAAGTTGCTAAAATCTAGCTATCTAATAAATCTCTTAAAAAAAGAAAGTATAACTCGGTAGTAAAACTAAAAAGAAAACATAAAAGAGGCGTGTGCAGCAGAAGGACACGCTACACGGATATACCATGTTGGCTCCTCACGCGCATAACGCTCAACAGTCGATGCTAGCCGGCACTCTCTCACTCACCCACCCGCCTGATCATCTTTATTATTCACAGCTCATAATAATACTATACTCCTTTCCTCCAAATATTGAAACATTCAACGGTCAACATTCAAATACAATAATACCCTCTCCTACATTATTCTAATTTTCTCGTTCAACCATTCATCTTACCTATCTTTGACCCGCGTACCGTACTCACACTTCTCAACTCTCACCCACATATATAACCAAACATCTCAACCTCTTTCTCTTCACATCATTAAACACTTTTCCCTATTCATAAAAACTATTTTCATTCAACAAAAAATGGTTTTGTCATGGACAAGAAGAACCGTTTTCCGCCGTGCTCACAAGGCAAAGGAACACCTTCCCGGCGTTGATTTAACCGTCGAGGAGATAATAACCCCGGCCCATTTCCGGTGTCCGGTGAGTCTAGACTTGATGAAAGATCCGGTCACTCTATCCACCGGAATCACCTACGACAGAGGTAGTATCGAGAAATGGATTGAGTCTGGAAACAAGACATGTCCGGTTACTAATCAGAAGCTTACCACTTTTGAGATCACACCGAATCATTCCATAAGAAAAATGATTCAGAGTTGGTGTGTTGACAACAGTTCTTATGGGATTGAGAGGATTCCGACTCCTCGTATACCGGTTTCTAGCTACGAGGTTTCCGAGGTTTGTACGAGGTTGTTGTCTGCTTCTAAAAACTTGGATGAGAAAAAATGTGCGGAGTTTGTCGGAAAGATTAAGGTTTGGTGGAGAGAGAGTGAGAGGAATAAGAGGGTTATAGTTGGAAATGGAGCTTGTTCTGTTCTTGCAACGGTTTTTGATTCTTTTTCAAGTGTTTCTTTTGAAAATCATGTTGTTGTTTTGGAGGAGATTTTGGAGATTTTAACATGGATGGTTGTTATAACATCTTTTGGTGAAACAAAATCCAAACTATGTTCATCTTTATCTTCTTTAGATTGCTTGGTTTGGTTTCTAGATGGTAAAGATTTAGGAGCAAGACAAAATGCTGTTTTGTTGCTTAAGGAAATGAATGTGGAGGAGTTATCAAAAGTTGAAGGTGTTGTGGAAGGTTTGGTTAAGATTATCAAGGAACCAATTGGGTCTAGTGCTACAAAAGCATGTTTGACCACAATTTTCAAGATGGTTTCATCAAGTAAAAATAGAGTTGAAGTTGGAGAAAAGTTTGTTGAATTGGGTTTGGTTTCATTTTTGCTTGAATCAATAGTTGATGGAGAGAAAGGGGTGTGTGAGAAAGCACTTGGTGTGTTGGATTGTTTATGTGATTGCCAAAAAGGGAAAGAGGTTGTTAAGATGAATGCTTTAGCTTTACCTCTTGTGATTAAGAAAATCTTGAGGGTTTCTCCTTTAGCTTCTGGTTTTGCTGTTGGTGTTGTTAGGAAGATGTGTGAGAAGAAGGAAGAAGGAGTTTTGATTGAGGTGATTCAACTTGGGGGTTTTCAGAAACTATTGGTTATGTTGCAAGTTGGGTGTGAGGAGAAGACTAAAGAGAATGCTACTGACTTGTTGAAGATGTTGAATGGTTATAGAAGCAAAGCTGAATGTGTTGAGTCTTCATTAGAGTTCAAGTATCTTAAGAACTAAGATTCATGAGAATGAGATTTTTTTTCCTTCATTTTTTAGGTATAGGATAGATTCATTTTAGAGACAAAATTCTTTGATGTATAAAGATAACACACATGAATAAAGTTCATAGAAATTATAGAAATTATATCTTGAAAATCTCTCTAGCACAATTTTCCTGAAAACAAGTGTGTTTATGTTTATTCAGTGACGGTGTTAGAAATCAACACTGATACGTTTAATTTTTTTTTTTTGACATCAATCGATATTATTATCGATGTCGATGTGTTAGTGTTGTGTCAAATTTATAATGATGTGTTCTATGTTATTTTGATTCATATGAATATCAAATAACAATCACTCCAAAACAATGTTTATTCAACTTAACATTTTCAAGAAACCAAACATTTTTGTAAACAAGATAGATGCAAAAGTGGTGAAACACAGAAACAAACATGCAATAATCCTAGACCATGGATCAATCCAAGGTCACTTATTTTCAAAACTCAATGAGAAAAAAACACATGATTCTTCAATGGAAAAATGGATTTGGCCAAAATCCATTTTGTTGATTAACATCTCCCAAAGGAGGTGGTGCCTCATCCCCACCACTATTGTTCATCAAATTCATAAACCAGTGTTGTTTTTGCATAACATCCATATTCATATCCAAAACATGACCACCATGACTCCCTTGTGCAACATCTTCAATCTTAGGCACACCATTAGTCACCATTGTTGATGCTACCATTTGAGATTGACCTTGACCTTGACCATTCTTGCTCAACATTTCAACTCTTCTATTAATATCTTTCAAATATTGATCAATTAACCACGCCATATCATTTAAATAAACCATACTTATATTTTGCATAGTTTTATTATCACTAAGATATTGAAACATTAATTGAGTCATTTCTTTTTCTCTATTATCTTTTCTTTGTTTAGTCAATTGATCTTTCGTCTTTTGAATCCTCTGCTTCAAAAAACTCTCTTGATTCACCATCTTTTTACTTTGTTCCAATTCAGGCATTCTTCGGAACTTCGAAAGCACCCTCTGAACTCCTATTGATGATGGCCAAACCTCGGGTTGTGGATCGTAAGGGCTATAAATTATAGCGCAAACATCAATTCCACAAAGGGTGCTAAGTTCACTAATCTTTTTCATTAGACCTTTCTTCCTTTTCTTGAATGTCGCCTTCCTCGCGGAGTCATTGAGTATATATGCTAGTTTCACCTTCTTTCTAGTCATGGTGATGATGGAGGAACCGAAAGAGCAATACTTTCTTATTTATATAGATTTGTTTGAGAGGGCCAAACTTATTTGATAGGAGCATTATGAGACATTCATTATCAAATATTTGTGCTATGAATTTAGAGATGTCAATTTTAAATGTATAATATGTGTTATGAATTGGAGATGTCAAGATTAAATGCCTTTCAAAGGGAGAATCAAAATAATATTTTCTACCTTAGTAAATTTTCTCTTCTTGATTGAAGATTCATTCTCTCTATTTAGTAACATATATTTTGTCAAATCTCTCAAAAATAGTTGCTCATTACTCTCTTTTTTGTCGGTAGAGATGAAAATATTTGGTCTAATGTTATTCACGTTGTAAATGAGCTAGCTAAACCTTTTGGACTAGTCAATACTGTATTTATTATTTTAGTGCATATGAAAGTCATGTTTGTGACAACTATGAGATTTGAAAAAATATATCTTACTAAATAAGATATCCTAAAGTGATTACTATTGTGATAGTGTGGTATATTTTGTTTTATGAAGAGCATTAAGAGCATTCTTTTTTAACAATCACTATGATATTATCTTTTATTAGGTCAAGTTAATATAAATCTCACACTTTATAAATTTCATCTGAAAAGATTCACACAAATTTCATCTGAAAAACATAAGTGTTAGAATGATAGTTTTTGTTACTCAGTGTAATATTTGGAGCAGTAGAGGATCCAATTCCTAGAATGATAGTTGAAAATGGTGTGCCTAACACTCCTATTTTATTTAGACGAAATTTCTAATAATCGTATTCTTTTTAGACTTTTAATAAAAGTTTAATTTTCATACATTACAGAATTTACATAATTGCACCCATCGTCATATGTTTGACTTTTAAAATAGCTAAATTAATATTTTAAAATCAAACAATTGTAGTAGTTGAGTAGTGTAAAGATTCTTTAATTTAATTAGGATATAAATTAAATTTTTTTATAGATGTTTAGATTTAAAAATAAATAAAATGTCAGTTGAAATTGTCAAACAAATAATTTTAGAGATAATCAATGATACCTAATCGGACAAAATCATACTTACACAAATACAATCGAACATGAGCCAACTTATTCTTTAGTCAAAAGCACAATAAGACTAAATAATTAGGTTTTGCCACATTTCATATTTGTAGCACCGCTAACTTAAAAAAGTGAGAATGATGAAACCATTAGCTGAGCGAGTTGTGCACGTGTGGACAAAATCAATGGAATATGCTTATGAAAAAAAGGCAACATTCAAATGTGGAATGTCGTTTATCCTAAAAATGCAGGGAATAATTACACATGATAATTGACATACATAAATGAAAATTGTTGAAAGTGAATAATCATGAACTATTTCAAACATCAATAATATCAATTATTTGGAACACAAAGAACATGCAACAATAAAAGGCTTACAAAAGAAGAGACAAGTGGGACATTATTACCTCGCTCATGAATTGATGAATGATGCATTCTTAGGTAATAGAACTTCCAATAAAAGTTATGGAAATCGTATATAAAGTGCAAGCAACAACTTGTATTTAGGTAAGATTTGAGATATCAAGTATCCCAAATTTCCTTCGGATGTTAAAAAATGACTCGATCGCAAGAGGTTTTGTAAAAATATACGTAAGTTTATGTTTACTATTAACATGCTCAAATATGACATCCCCTTTTTCAACATGGTCACGTAGGAAATGGTGACGAAACTCAATATGCTTAGTGTGAGAATGTAACACTAGATTTTTTATTATATTGATATCACTAGTGTTGTTGCACATAATAGGAATAGGTTGGAGTTTTATATCAAAGTCAAGTAATTGTTGCTTAAGCCACAAAATTTGCGCATAACAACTACTGGCCGCAACGTATTCCGCATCGGCGGTTGATAAAGTAACAGAAACTTGTTTCTTGCTATGCCAACTTACTAAGGCATTTAAAAACATGTGACAAGTTCCACTTGTACTCTTCATATCTGATTTGCAACCGACAAAATTGGAATCGATGTAACCAACCAAATTATAATCGCTTCCCATAGAATACCACAACTCGTAACTAGAAGTACCATAAAGATATCTAAGAATACGTTTTACGGCTATTAAATGAGATTTCTTGGGAGTTGATTGATAACGGACACACATACACACACTAAACATAATGTCCGGCCTAGAAACAGTGAGATATAGAAAAGAGCCAATCATACCTCTATATTTTTTCACATCTACATCCTTACCATTCTCATTCCTTTCCAAGTTACCATTTGTAGCCATCGAGGTATTAATAGACTTTGCATCTTCCATGTTAAATCTCTTTAGCAAGTCTTTACAATATTTGGTTTGACATACAAAGGTGCCTTTATTCATTTGTTTGATTTGGAGACCAAGAAAGTAGTTTAACTCCCCCATAAGGCTCAGCTCGAACTCTCCCTGCATAAGCTTAGAGAATTCTTCTATAAGTTGCATATTAGTTGATCCAAAAATAATATCATTGACATAAACTTGAACTAGAAGTGTATGTTGTCACGCTTAATGAGTAATGTAGTATCTACTTTTCCCCTCGAGCATTCTTGATCAATTACAAATTTTCTTAATCGCTTAATGAGTAATGTAGTATCTACTTTTCCCCTCGAGCATTCTTGATCAATTACAAATTTTCTTAATCGCTCATACCAAGCCCTAGGGACTTGTTTGAGACCATCAAAATACTTTTGATCTTGTAAACATGATTTGAATACTCGTGACTTTCAAAACCGGAGGGTTGAGCTACGTACACTTCTTCATTAATATAGCCATTTAGGAACACACTTTTCACGTCCATTTGAAATAACTTGAAATTTTTAGCGCATGCATAAGTTAGTAGAAGGCATATAGCCTAAAGGCAAGCCCCAAAGCATAAGTCTCCTCATAATCGATGCCCTCCTCTTGGTTATAGACTTGAGCCACTAGCCAAATTTTATTGCTGGTTATCACTCCCTTTTCATCAAGATTGTTTCTAAAAACCCATCGGGTGCCAATTACTTGATGATTTTTAGGACGAGGGACAAGGCCCCAAACATCATTCCTTTTAAATTAGTTTAGTTCATCTTGAATGGACATAAGCCAATGCTCATCATGTAATGAATCTTTATCATTTTTAGGTTCAACTTGAGAAACAAATGTAAAGTGATAACAAAAATTACTGATCTTAGAGCACGTTGTCACACCTTTGGTGATATCCCCAAGTATGTTATCAATAGGGTGATCTTTAGATGTCTTCCAAATCAAAGGTAGATCTTCCACTTTAGCTGGAATTTCAACCTTCTCCTATTCATGATCGTCATCTTCTTTCTTCTTAAGTTCCACCGCTTTAGGTTGATCAATTCCTTGTTCGATTCCATTGAGAATTTCTTGTGAAGATACACCTACATCATGAAACGTAACATGTACGGACTCCTAAAAAATAAGTAATCTCTTGTTATAAACCTTATACGCTTTACTAGATTGTGAGTATTCGAGGAAGATACCCTCATCGACTTTTACATAAAATGTACCAATATTATCCCTTCCATTGTTCAAAAGATAACACTTACATTTGAAGACATGTAGATGAGAAACATTAGGTTTTCTACGTCTAAGTAGTTCAAAGGGGTTTTTGTTTAAAATATGATGTATGAGAAGCCTATTCATGACATAAAAAACCGTGTTAATGGAGTCGGCCCAAAAATACTTAGGAAAATTACCTTCATTAATCATAGTCCTCGCTAATTTATCTAAAATTCGATTTTTACGCTCCATAACACCATTTTGTTGTGAAGTTCTAGGAGCGGAAAAGCTGTGCTCAATGCCAAGTTTGTCATAATACTTCTCAAAGATATGATTTTTATATTCTCCTTCATGATCACTTCGGATGGAAAAGGTTTTCAAATTCATTTTATTTTGGAATAATCTAGAAAATTGTTTAAAATCCGGATAGGTCCCATCTTTACTAGACAAAATTAAAATCCAACAAAATCTTGAGTAATCATCTGCAATAACAAAGTCATAATAGTTTCCACCTATGCTTTTTGTCCTTGAGGGACCAAAAAGGTCCATATGGAGAAGCTCAAGAGGTCTCGAGGTAGAAACAAGATTTTTTAATTTAAAAGAGATTCTTGTTTGCTTTCCCAGATGGCACGCTTCACATAAATGGTCTTTAGTGAACTTCATTTTAGGTAGACCAATTACTAAATCTTTTGAGGATATTTTTTTTTAGTAATTCAAAGTTAATATGAGCTAGGAATCTATGCCATAACCAAGAGTTTTCACTAATGGTATCTAGGCACTTAGTTCCAACCAAGGATACCTCATCTAAGTTAAGCATATAAGTATTATTAATCCTCAAACCTTTAAACATACATTCCTTCTTCTTATCATGCATAAATAAGCAACAAGTGTTTGTAAAAGTAACTTTGAAACCCTTGTCACAAAGTTGACTAATGCTTAGAATGTTATGTTTAAGGTCATTGTTGCACCCCAAAATTTGCCAACATTTCTTTACCTAGCTTATGTTTCATTTCATTCACATTAGCATTATCATTTGCATTTCATTGACATGTGTGCAGGAGATCAAGAGGTATGACTACCAATAAAGATCTATACAAGACTATGAGGCTAGCTAAGAAGGTTATTCAAGTGATCAAGGGTTGATATCCTTGTCAGAGAAGTTAAGAGATCCTCGGAGAGAGTGGTTGAAACCAAGTGTGTGAGCCTCCTAACTTGAGAGTTGAGGGAAGCCATCAGATGATTCTGAGGCCATGAAGTTGGACTTGAGGCCTTGAGAGAACTCATGAGAAGTGTTGAAGATCACTTTGAGGCCTAGACAGGTCATTGTGCAAGATTAAGAAGCCTCAACCATGATTGGTGCAGCTAGGGTTTAACTGGGTCAGCCCTAAGTCAACTGAGGATTTGAAGAAGGTTGAGACTTAATTTACGAGCCATGTGATCATGGATTGATACATTGAGA